AAAACACACATTTCAACCGTGACTTCTTGTCTTCATTACAACCATATTACGGGAACAGGGTGCACCATTGTCACAAAATCACCCTGATGTATATTTGTCACCAAAATAATTGTTAAAAAACAGAATTTAGAATCTTAGGATAGAATCTATAAAAGACAAATTCAAAAATTACTTCAATGCAGTTCACTTGATTTGGGGACAGTAAAAAAACTGTAAGCTGCATATTTAAAAGATGAATCTTAGGATAGAATCGATAAAAGACAAATGCAAAAATTAGTTCAATGCAATTCACTTACAAGCTATGAAGAAAAATGGAAACCGTTTTTTAAATATAGGCTATATAGCCTATACTTAATAATCAATAAGTCTTGCATGTAAACAGCAAGGTTCTAAATTAAACATTCAAACAATAAATGTGCACTAAAACATAAATCTAGAAAAACAAACAGAAACAACTGAACTGAACACATCAGGAAAAAAATAAGGTCTCAAGTTAAAAGTGGAACTATTTTTAACACAAAAAAACTTCTGAGAGAGTTTTACAATGTAAACTGTCCAACAGCTAAAGCATAACTGAAATACAAAAACTCTGATTGAATTTTTTTTAATTAAGAAAAGTGTTTAAAACAAATTGACTAGTCAGTTGTTGGATGACTAGTCTAATACCTAGTCTATCTAGACTAATACCAAAAAAACTCTCAAATTTTTATAATTATCATTAAAAACACAGTATTTAAAGCCACAAATACACAAATATATATATATATTTACATTTACATAAAACATAAGTGTTTTCACAGAGACCATATCATTTTTTTAACTAGTTCACTGAAATGAACAATCCAAACAAACTGATTTACTACAACAAAATTGGACTTTGCAATACTTCATATGAGAGACAAGTGAGAGTTTAGACAAGTGTGTTTGATTATTTGCCATAATTTGTTTGCTTGCAGTGTGCAATATGACGTGACATAAAAACCTGATTTGTGGTGTTTGTGACGCCAACAAATCTTCCCAACCTAGTAACCCAGGAATTTTTTTTTTTTTGCCCTGTTCTTCATTTTCAGATTGAGTTCTAAATTGAAAATAAACTCGAATGCTCACTAACACTTCACAACTTTCCTCACCATAAGCCTGGGCACAAACTCCAAAGGGGAACGCTCTTGAAAATGTCAGGGAAAGTATACACATCGCAAACTCACAAATTGTTACACGAGCGTGACCACACACACACCAAAAGGACGGCCAAAGCCACACGCTCACACAGACAAACGCACACGGGGGGGGAAAAACTGTCAGCCGCAGTCTCGACAAAACCTCAGAGTTCCCACCAAACCGTGGTCTCCACTAGACACAACACTCCACAAGTCGGTTGAGCTCAAACCTCGGTTAGCAACCTGCTTGGCACAAAGGTCCAGCGTGCACGGCATTAGATACACGGGCACCTGAAATGCAGATTAAAGAAAGGTGTGCCGCTAGATGACAAAGCACCACCTGAACTTTACAGCACCTGCATACTATAGAGAAACAAAGATAGAGAAGTCATATGCGATGGGCACGCCATTACAAACCACATTGCTCATCATAATATCAACCCTGTATTTCAAGAAAACTTCCTTGATTCAGACAGAAAGGTATTGATTTGAGACTACAAACAGACTGACTCAAGAAAGATAAAAAGAGAAGATATTTCAAGACCTTTTGTACTAAGATGAGCCATATTATTCAGGTCAGTGATTTAATCCATATTTAGATGCCGGAAAATGCCTTGCACAAACCCAACGGGATGTCCTATGACAACAGGAGCTCATCACAAGCTTTCCTACTATATATTACAGTCTATATTTTAAGCAGAAAATTTAGGACAGAGGTTTCGGTTTGAACTAACTTTAACTCTGGCAGAAGTCATCCTTATTCAAATGGAAAAATAATAACTCATGTGTCTATTTAATGGGAGGGGGGAAAAAGTCTACAGATGTGACGAGGAAGCTTCAAAGTATCTGGTAGCTGATATCTAAACTTCACTTCTGCTAGGATAATTTTCCAAATATTCTGAAAGGAAGCTTAATACTTAGGGAGAAAGTAAACTGTTTCACTATAGGTCAAATCGTAGTATACGAGTCTCACTGTGTGGCTGGGTTAGATGTTTGCTATAGACAGTGTTTCCAGGAAAAAACACAGGCCAGGAAACACAGCCAGTCTGCAGAGCCACATAAAACACACCAGCCAATCGCATGCACACTTCCTGAGCGACTCTAGACAGGTTAAGTCATACAAGTAAGCGGGCCTGATTACACATGTTAACTCAAAAAGCAAGACTAGTTGTCTAAAAGGAATCCAAACATTTAAAACAGAGAAACAAAAGGTTCCTCCATACTCAATGGTTTGTTATGGAGTAGCTGAATTTTCAAACTGAAGGTTTCAGGGTGAATTTAGTACAGCATTAACACTAATCTCACTGACTACTGCTTACAAAGAGGGGAAAAAAAAAAAAAAGAGTAACAAATATGCAAAAACATCCAAATAGTAAAAAGAAACACCCATGGCACATTCTTGCCAATGGAACAGTGAATCATACCTTGCAGCGAAGGAGAAATTAAACACCAACACCTACGCTCAGCCCACCCTGACCCAGACCCTCCTTTGAAAAATAATGGCACCCACCGCCACCCTCCCATAGCACTGGCTAATTGCCCATGTGGGTCCCTTAAACTTCATACGCTGGAAGAGACAACAGAGAGCCCGGTTCCAGATGTGAGACCCACATGTGGCAAACTGTTGATATAATGAATAACGCAATTGGAAAAAGGCACCAAAAATAGGCCACTTATTGGCCTACAAAGCAGACAGACAGATATCATGCTTAGCTGGGCGAGAGTTGACGGCCAAACAAGAGTGCCAAAGTGCAAACGACTGATGCAACGGTGTATCTTTTTGCATAAACCCTAGCGAGAAGCACACTGGAACTTCAACAGCAGAGGTTTAATACAAAATAAATGTGTTTTTCTGTCATCTAAGCCAAATTCTGATACAAAACGTAACAGTAGAAAAAAACTCACGTGTGATCAAAGCAGTACGGCAGTGACTTCATTCCAACACAATATTATTAATCGGCAGGTAAAATAGCTGGTTTAGGTGACTCTTTAATCCCTTGGGTGGCAAAGTAGCTATTCAAAAGAAAGGGGCCGATCTCATCACTCCAACACAAAGCCTAGGTGACCTGGGCGGGGAACACCTTGCCTAAAAGGAACAATTTGATACGGCGCAAAGGCTAACCGTACAGCTCATTTCCGCTTGTAGAAACTCTTTTCACCTTCTGTTTATTTTCCAAGCTTAAAGTAAAAGGTTGGGTGATGGATAAAATCAATTTCAGCAAATACCTGACCTACATGTCGGGCACTGTTACCCACAATGCACTTCTCATGCAGGAACACTTAATGAAATGCCCTGGGCCAATGAAAACGACTACTATCATAGACTTTGTGAGTTCTGCTACCTTTAAAATCCCACTCTGTTTGGAGTTGACATGAGCTAGTAAGCGTGAGCAGAACCCCACCTCTGCACGCCCACGCAAAAACGCAGACTTGCGTCCCAGACACGACGCACAACATGGAAAACTTCTACCATACTATAAGAAGGCTTACTTTATACTGCAGACCAAATGAGGGGGAGGATGAATGGAAGAATTAGCTAATGGTTTAATGCATAAGACCACGACTTCAGCGTTGGTGGAGCTCAGACACCCAACGGAGACTGAACTGACATGAACTGGCAGCATTTTTCCATACAAGCAGATGAATATTCACCAGGTTCTTATGAATCAAGCTGCTATAAAGCGCAGATTACAATGCAAGACTACTTTAAGATAACAGATGCACAAGGGTGATATTACAAATAGTCTGATGAGTTAATCTAGTAGTAGAGTCTTAATCTAGTAGCAACATGAACTGAACTCAAGGTAAATGTTTATATCTTTGACATGTTGTTGTTTATATTACAGTTACACAATGTAAAACTGAAAAAAAAACGTTCCTGCCCATTTGAAGGGTACAGAAAAGTAGTTTTACCTTGTCAAACAACCAGATCAAGCAAGTAAAAGTGATTGTCAGCTTAGCCAAAATGAGCCTCCATGCAAAGTAAACAAAGAAAAGCAGGACTTACTTAACGACCTGTAGCTGAGTGAAACATTTAAACGACATTTAACTTTACATTTTTTGACTAAATGAACTGAACACAACAGTAAACAGAAAGCAGAAATGTGAAATATCTTGTGTAAAATCCTCCAGCACACACAGAGAGGCGCTGTGATGGGATGCCACTTTCTCAGGGCCAAATGGCTGAAAGTTGCTCGCAAATGGTGGATGCCATACTCGATCAACACAAGCGGTTATAAAGCCATTTTAAACACCTTTACATTTTCTCATAAAGTTTAATGCACCTGGGAGCGTAATAAACGCGTTTACCACGTGAATTATATCTAAAACATACCTGACTGTCTATGTCGGGACGGTTCAAAAGTTGTGAAAACGTGTGCCCTAAAATATCGATTTTAATCCCTATAAGCAAAATTTTTTGGGTAAACGAAGCAGACAGAATGACAGCTACACACAAACACCTGTAGAAGTCACACAATATGGAAGTGATTTGTATAGCCAACACAAAAACTGACGAAAGACCCAAAACTCATTAAAACTATGCCAACTAGCTGCCTGCTTGTTCATACTTTCAACTTTATAAACCCTTCAAAACAACACCTTATCGCACACCGTGACTTTTAACGCTTGACTGACTTAAGTCTGTGCACAAAAAGTCGCTTAAAATACGATTATAAACACATCACCCAATCCGAGCGAAATTAGCGGGCTGCATATCCAGAGTGAAACTCATCTAAAACGACAAAAACTCTCTAAAATGCGTTTCTGGCATCTTGACTTTCTTATAACAGTAATCTAAAATTTGATTAAACCGATCTGTTGTTGTTGTGTGGGAAAACTTACCCGTATCGCCCGGGGTCTTCATGTTGGAGAGTATAGCCGCTTCGTTAGCAGTCGTGCTAACTGAGAAAGAGAGTGAGTGAGTGAGAGAGAGAGAGAGAGATGAAATGAACTTCTTCCTCTCGGTGAGCTCAGGATCACACACAAACTCCTCTGTAAACTTTTCCTCCTCAAATCCAGCCCCTTCACTCGTTCTCCCCCGGTTTGTTTGGAGTTTTCGCGTTTTGTTTTTCCTCCCCAACGTGGAGGACGCTCGTCGCTGCCTTGTGGCCGGACAGAATCGCTCTTTTACGGTCAGATATCGGAGCGCGTCGTGCCGATGGAGGAGGACCGTGTCCGCGCTGAACTCCTGATTACTTCATATACGCTGCGAAGTTGCATATTCAAGCCTTCTCAAAATAAAAATCAAAACAAGCGAGAAGGCAGAAATGCCCGATCCACTTTTCTCCCTCTCTTTCCACTGACTTTTTCTTTTTCCACTCACTCCGTGTAACTCTCTCCCTCCTCCTCCTCCTCTATCTGGGTGTCGTGTTTCGTTCTTCCAGCCCACGCGAAGCGGGGGAGGGAGGGGCGGAGAGAGCGCGTAGCCACGCCCACTTGCCATTTGTGCCGCGGCGTTACTGCGGAGACCGCCAACGCCGTCCGATCTTGGCTAACATGTCTTATACAAATGTGACCCTGGACCACAATGTAATGTGTAAATTTTCACAATGTGTGTAATTTTTTTTATCAAATTGATTTATACATCATCTGAAAGCTGAATAAATAAGCTTTCAGATGATGTATGGCTTGTTAGGATAGGTTACAACTATAGGCTATTTGAAAATCTGGAATCAGAATATTCAGAAAATCGCCTTTAAAGTTGTTCAAATGAAGTTCTTAGCAATGCATATTACTAATCAAAAATTAAGTTTTCAAAATATCAGTCAAAATATCTTCATGGAACATGATCATACTTAATATCCTAATGATTTTTCACATAAAAGAAAAGTCGATAGTTTTCACCCATACAATGTATTTTGGCTAGCTGTTACAAATATACCCATGCTACTTATGACTGGTTTTGTGGTCCAGGGTCACAAATCTTTAAAATTTGTTAAGAACAAGAAAGCCCTTAAGCTGACTTCTCTCTTGGATTTGTATCATTTAAAGGGGTGGTTGATTGCGATTTCACTTTTTTAATGTTAGTCAGTGTGTAATGTTGCTGTTTGAGCATAAACAATATCTGCAAAGTTACGAAGCTGAAAGTTCAATGCAAACGGAGATATTGTCTTTTAAAATTCTAAAAAAGTAGAATTGTTTGCATCGAAGATAAGTTTGACAGTCATAAATATAAGTTGAGGACTATAAATATACAGTCTGCAATAACCTTTTGCAGAAAAGGCCATGGATCCAACAGATGCTGAAATTATAGCTTATTATTTGTACGAAGTGAAGTGTCACAGTGTCGTAGCATATGGCTTGAACGCGACAGAATGTTCTTCAAGGTTGTTTACTAAGAAAAATGCAATTGTTATTGAGAGTGCTAAATGTGGGCTGGAGTGAGAAACGAATGTGAGTCTGTAGGTGGCCTTCTCTTTTCCTTATCTCTCATTCTTTTCCTCCACCGCCTCCCTTTCTCGCTCTCAGAGCGGGAGCAGTTGTCAGTGGAAACTCAAGGGTAGTAGATGACATTTGTAAAGCATTTGCACGTAAGTGCTAAATTACCAGTTCAGCGTTAATGCTACTAGCGAGCACACGCACATAGGCCAGCCCTTGACTTCTTCTTGTATGCGAACCTCATTCTCTGGGGACTTCCAAATATTAAGAATGCAACAAAACCCCACACTTAATCTTTAAATGTGAGCGATGGCAAAATAAATGATAAACAACATTTGTCTTTCATTAGCCATGATACATTTCCCACATAATGCTCAACCTCAATCATTACACTCTAATTAACATTGGAGGAAAAACTGACGTCTACCAGTAATTGATGTTAATTTGAAGACGGCTCTGGGTGTAAAACACTGAATACAGCCATTTGCTGGTTCATAAGCAAATGACTCAAAACGAGCAAGACAGAGAAAGAGATCTGGTTTGTGGCCTCGTTTGGAGATGTTTTCTTTCGCTCCTCTCCTTTGTGGCACGACCCCGCCGTCTCTAATCAGAATGACAGACAGACGCGCAGGAGAGAAAGAGAGGGGGAGAGACAAAGATGAGAAAAAAAGAGATAGAGAGAAAAATAGGAGTCATACTCAAAGCAAATGGGCCTTGGGAACATACAAAGTGGTACACGGCACAGGACGAACTGTAGTGCTTCTTTAGTGCAGCACTGATGGGCAATTCACATATTCTTGTAACTTAATGAAAACCATAACCGTGTGCTTACAGAAATAACCCTTTTTTGGGAATCCAAGAATATCAAAGCGATGGAAGGACATAGCAGTGTAAGTACGTCATAAAGATTACTCCAAAATGGATTCGTAGGGAGAAGAAAGAGGTGATTTATGTGCTGTTTTTTCCATGGTATTCTCAGACGCACAGAACACTTTTGCACGTTCACGAATCTGAACGCTGACATGCGCATAATCATGTGAAGACGAGAACGGGACCAGAGCACTGTTGTTGTGTCCGAAATCGCTCACTTGTTCAGTTAATCACATATATTTTACCGCGTTTGAAAGGAAAGACACATGATAAATACTGTTCTTCTGAACTTTCTATTTATCAAAGAATCCTGAAAAAGTTCTCACAAAAAATATTAAGCAGCACAAATGTTCTCAACATTGATTAAAAAAAGTTAAAATTAAAAAAAAATTGTCTTGAGCACCAAACCAGCATATTAGAATGATTTCTGAGGGATTGTGTGACACTGAAGACTGGAGTAATGATGCTGAAAATTCAGCTTTGCATCACAGATATAAATTATATGTTAATATATATTAAAATAGAAAACTGATATTTTAAATTGTACTAACATTTCACAATTTTACAGTTTTAACTGTATTTTTGTTTTTGTTTTTTAAATCTGCCTTGGTCAGTATAAAAGTCTTCTTTCAAAAACATTTTAAAAATCTCCAAACTTTTGAACAATAGTTTAGTTCACTTCATGGAAAATAAGTGAACGAAAATAACTGGGTGAACTTAAACACAGCATCAAAAAAAGATAAACACATGACATTAAACTTAATTAACAGCTAAAACAAACATAAATAATTCTAACTCACTAAATTTTAATCAATTGATGATAAAAAGTGAACAAGCAGCACCAGTTCAAAATACAATGTAGCTTCAGCTATTAGCTGTACACCATAAATCAGAGTGCATTATGGGTATAAAATGATCACTATATAGGGAGTTGAGGACATGAACGTTTAGACAAAGCAATCAAATCAAGTGTGAATACAGTAAAATGGGAGTTCAGTGCACACTTAATTTGATAGGAAGATAGTCTTGAATTAACACCTTGAATTATATAACCAACAAATCCAAAAAATTACCAATTTCTTTATTCCTACGCATGACTGCATTTTATGGCACAGCCCTAATTTCAGTCATGCTTTAAATTACTTGTCTTACACAGAAACAAGTTAGATGTCATAACAAATCAAAGTGATCCTTCAGCCTGTTGTCCTTTACTTCAACTTCTCACCCGCTGACAAGTCTACACAAAACACCACAATCACTGCAATTAGCGTCCCATCTCCCACACATTTGAGGCCAATGATCACTCAACCGAGGATTCAGAATGAATGAGGAAGATTAATCACTGACAGCTAAAAGTACTGATTAATGAGCAGTCATTAAAACTTAATGAAGGACTGATCAAAGCAACTTCGTATATGTTGCAGCCAGGTTTACAGCGCAACAAATAGAAGCTTGTTGAGCAAGGCAAAATGGGGCAGAAGGGTATTTTTGCAAAAATGGCATAAATTAAATCTAAAAAGGAAATCTAATGATAATGCGATTGGGGTTTGGCAGGCAAAAGAGTCTTCTCTTAGTCATCTCCCAAACACGACTATAGTTCTAGTAGTAAATGCCCCCCATTGACCTCGTGAAGGGGGCCCAATATACACATCCACATATGCACGCATGCACATACACACACACACACACACACACACACACTCAAATGCACAATGGGAGCTTTGTGCACCAATGATGGAAGGTTCTTATGTGTGTGTGCATATGTAATTGGTATTACGAAAGTGTTTAAAGGTGTCAAGGTCAGCGGCATGGCATACCATTTAATTTTTCTCACCAGGTTTTCAAAAATACAGTTAAACTACGGCATCCGAGGTCTTGTCTTCCCAGCTGAGAGAGAGAGATAAAAAGAGGCCGAGAGAGATATAGAAGTGCTGTGGGACCGACAGGGAGGAATTCTCAAGGGAATCGGGGATTAGGAAAGAGTGTCAGAGAGAGAGAGAAAGGAAGGGGTAGGGCTAAAATGCTAAAAGTGCAAGGGGTAAAAGCAGCAGCCCAAAAATGGTGGGGGAAGGGCATCGGGGGAAAGAAAAGAGAGAGAGTTTATGTATACATCTGTGTGTGTGCGCGTGTAAAGGAGCGTGTGAATAGACTCTTTGTGATCAAAAGACTTGTTTATTTTCTCGGCGCTTGAACTCTTCAGGAAACACATTTGGCCTGTCTCTCCACCGTCTGCCACACTAACCTCGAAACACACACCTTTGACTTTACACACAACTCCAGAGATGGACTTTACAGTGCTGCAATCCCATGGACAATATCTCCTGTTCAAACGCACACGTACATCTCAAAGGGATTCCTGATGAGGAGCGTGGAAATTGACGTCCATGTTTTCTCTTTCAAGTACACATAAACTCTCCCTCTTGTTCTGTTCAGTGTCCCCTCGCTCTCTGGTTCTCCTTGTCCCAGCTGGTATTCACACATTTCTAATAGGATTAGCACACTTTCACTTTGGGGAAGAGCAGATACAGTAGATGTATACGAGGGATGAAGGGCTGGAAGATACGAGGTAGGGAAAGCAATTTGAGGGTTAAATGTGGAAGAGAGAGAACTGGAGTGGTGCTTGCATATGCAAAACTACATGATGATAAGGTGTTCAGAGTGGTTGCTAGGGTATCCAATGTGGTTTCTATGTGGTTACTATAGTGTTTTTGGTTTCTAGAGAATTGGTAGTCCCTAAAAGTGGTTGCTAGGCGGTTTCTAGGCTATTCTGGGTGGTTGCTAGGGTGTTGCTATGCAATTACTATGGTGTTTTTGGTTTCTAGGACATTGCTGGCTCTGAAGGTGGCTGCTAGGGTGTTTCTAGGTGGTTGCCAGGGTGTTGCTATGCAATTACTCTGGTGTTTTTGGTTTCTAGGATATTGCTGAAACATGAGCGAAGTGGCATGAGACATTGCTGGCTCTAAAGGTAGTTGCTAGGCTGTTTGTAGTCTATTCTGGGTGGTTGCTAGGGTGTTGCTATGCGGTTACTATGGTGTTTTTAGTTTCTAGGACATTACTGGTCCTGAGGGTGGTTGCTAGGCTGTTTCTAGGCTATTCTGGGTGGTTACCAGGGTGTTGCTATGCAGTTACTGTGGTGTTTTTGGTTTCTAGGAACATTGCTGAAACATGAGTGAGGTGGCATGAGACATTGCTGGCTCTAGTTGCTAGGCTGTTTCTAGTCTATTCTGG